TTATTAGCTTGCATTAGCACAGGTTCTAACATTGTGACCATAACTTCCACAATTAGCACATTTATTTTGTCTTTTTTTCTGTGTATTATTAGTATTAAGTCTATCTCGATTTTGATATACATTACTAATATCTTCCAATACACCCTTGAATCGTTGTTTTGGTGGGCGTCCACGACGCTTAGTTACAATTGGATTGATGACTACAACAGATTCATGAGATTTAACATTATTTTTATCATTATTATCCTCCTCTAAAAGTTGCAACTTTCGTGCTTTGGAAGAAATGAACTCCTCCATTATTTTATAAAATTCATCATCACAATTGAGACGTATCATTAAATTTAATGCTTTTTTAGACATTTCATATCCTTTAGCCCAACGTGTCTTTTCACTAATTGATTTTTTCAAGGCAGGAGTAAATGCATTAGGAGCACGAAATTGAGACAAATATCCAAAATTAATTACATTGCTAACATTATTAAATGATAATGGTTGATTAGTTTCACCACATAGTCTAATAGGTTGAAGTGTTGCAATAAGATCATCATTATTTATCTTATTACTTTTATACCATCGACTTGAAATAAGAGAAATGTGAAATCTAGCAAGATGAGATTTTGTCAAAACTTTAAAGAAATGATGACAAACAATCCCTTTAGTGATCAAGGTAAGACAAGTACATAAGTGGTGCCATCTGCAAGTATTATGATGTGATTACTGAAATAATTTGAAAAAATTCCCTGTCAAGTTATATACCAGACCTGTTCAACATATTCTCTTCTTAAGTTTTGCAATAAGGATTTGAGACCTATCTGAAGCTGCTCATAATTATCTTCACGACATCCATTATCTATAATATTCTCAGGTTCTGAAAAAAAATTGTCCCACTCAATAGAAAGTTCAGCAGCATCATAAAGGAAGCTTTCGGAAAGTTGCTGCCTTTGAAGCGAAAGAACATGTAGAGTTAAGTACTCTCGGAGTAAGGAATCAATGGCTGGAAAATAATAACTTGCAACATGAGGTAATCCAATAGTAGGATTTATATTCTTTTGTTCATTTATTTGTGCATAATGTGTTTCCTCATTTAGACGATTTTGTATTGTATCAACTAAATGTAGTAATGTTGTGCTACGTGAAATTTTCTTTTAATAATTCCATTGATACTCTCTATTCGCTATGTACTTTGGATACCAGCTGTGAAACATGTTTGTGTATAACATATGGCCCAGCTATGACGCGTAGGATAAAGTGTTTTAAGTGCATAGCGAAAAGCTTTAGGAAATGGTTCAAGAAACGCAATAAATTCCGCCCAATGATGCTCAAAATTAGCCTCAAATAAACTATTATGAGAATGATAAAAAGCCTATAACATTCATTAAAATTAGTACTCATAATCGGCTTAAGTTTTTTAATAAAATTGTTGTTCATATGAAAGATACAA